AGTCCCAGTCTGAGAGACCTCGCCCCGTTCCGCGCACCCTTGGCAACTCCTGTGTGCCTCCTCCTGACCCCTGGCCGCCCCTCCGCACCTCTTAGTTACGGGATGTCACCTCTCCCACCAAGACCCTCTCCTCACGCCTCGCCCTCACCCACACTAGGCCCTGTCCTGCCCGGCCCAGCCGGACCGACTGCGCCTGCCCGCTGCCCTTCCCAACCCCTGCGCCTTCCTCCGCGTGACTCCCACTTGTTAGCCCCCTCGCCGCCACCCGTGCCCCTCCGCTCTCCTGGGTCACCAGACTCTCCTCTTCTCCTACTCTCCCCCGCAGCACGCAGTTTCCTCCCCGCCCTTCTCTCCTGGGCTGCCGGGCAACTCTTCTCCCTTGCTTTCTCACGCTAATTGTTAAGGTATGTTTATCTGCGTAGAAACACCGTCGGTGACAATTAGCCAAAAGGGCCTTCCCCCGCATTTCACAGGAGAGGAAACCCAGTTGAAACTGAGTGAGGTGATCCAGTCACACGTCTATTGACGGGTGTCTCTTACCTCCCAGGACCACACTTTAAGATTCAAAAGTAGCTACTATTTTTACTCAGCAGAGCCTAAAAGTACTGGCTTCTCAGGCAATGCATTGATTCCATAAACATTCATTCAGTGCCTCCTTCGTGCCAGATCTTGTTTTAAGGGGTCTGCAGAATGCTGTGGTAAGCAAGACTAAATTTCTGCTCCTTAGAGTTTAAAGTGTAGTGGTGGAGGCGGATCATAACAAGGAAATGGATAAATGAACAAGGTGATTTGAGATAGTACTATGAAGAAAATAAAATCGAATGCGAGGAGGGTGGGTGTTTTACATCAGACAATCAGTAAAGCTTTGAAGAAATATCGTTTGCTCTTCGTACTGAATGGAAAATTGGAGTGAGAGGGACAAAGGCAAGGAGAAAAGGTCCCAAAATGGAGTGTTTGGCATGTTCCAGGAATAGAAACACAAGACCAAACATTTGGTACCCACTTCCTCTATAAAATGGGCCTGGAAGACTAGTATGGAGTTGTTAAAATATTGTGTGTAAAGTACAGTGCCGGCTACAGGGTGAGTTCAATATTGCATTAAAGTTAGCTATTATTGATATCATTTCTTTGTGGTAGGATACTGATAAAGCAGAGAGAAGGCTCTGTGAAAATAAACACAGTGCCATCCTCCTCACAGATTGCCAAATGAGTAGCCCAATTTAAAAGTTAGAAATTATTTCAGGGGTGGTGAGGGAAAGCGTACTCCCCAGTGAATATGAACTGGGTGAATGGATGGGGGGATTTAATAAGTAGACAGCACTGTACTTAAAAAGAAATTCAGCAGCTCATACATGTTTATTAGTAAGAAAGAGTGCAAATAAATGAGTTAAACATTCAACTCACGTAGTTAGAAAAAGGACATCAAAATAACCCATGGAAAGCAAAGGAAGGGATTAAGTAAAGAATACATAAATGAAAGGATCAGAAAACTTAAGAAATACAACTAACAAAACAAGGAAAAGGTCTGGACAAGTACCAGTACAAAACACTAGAGATCCTGAAGGTGTATAGCGAGTCCTTCCAGTCTCCAAAGCTGGAAACATTTGTGGTTTTAGCTTCAAAAGAGATCTGAAAGAAAGTCCTGGGGATATTTGGCTTAGAAAGAACACAAACAAACAAAACAGCTGAGGAATCATCCGCTGGGGAAGAAAAGTTGAGTGTTGTGGTCATATCGTTAGGCCCCATGAAATGCCACCTAACTGCAGCTTTGCTAAAGTTTGTTGATTACGAAGGAGAAATGAGTAAGTTAACTGCCAGACTGGGAAATCTCCTGGCAGCTGGACTTAGCACAGTCACTTGGCAATGTATTCGCATTTGTATGGGCTGTTTCTTCACCCTTGAACTTGCCCCAGTGGTAAAGACACTGAGCTCAAGTAATACATTCTTATGTCAGAAAGTGTGAGTCAAAAAGAGACTTAATAAGTGCTTGTATGTTGGGGCTTGCCCTCTAGGACTCCTGAAGAAGCGAGGATCTGAAGAAGCCTGAGCGATGACCATGTGGAGGGAGGCTCAGCTGTCTGAGTCCGTCCAGGCTTCCAGCTGCTGCCCGTTGTAGCCACAGGAGTGAACCCGGGGGTAGGTGGATTAGAGAACGGAGAAGGAGTTTCTCCTTGAGCCACTAGGAGAATAGAACTGTCATTGACTGAGATTGGAAAGACTGTAAGAGAAACATGTTTGGGGAGAATATCAGTGTTGTTTTTGGATAAGTTGGAGATGCCTTTGGGACACCCAGAGGAGTTGATAAGGAAGCAATTAGATGTACAGATTTTGAGTATGTAGTAGAAGTCCAGGCTGGAGAGACAAAATTTGCAAGTTCTTGTTCTATTTTATTTGAAATCATAAGATACTACCAAGTCACTGAGGGAGTTTAGACGAGAGAAGAAAAGGTCTAAAATCTCATTTCTGGGGTTTTCTAACATTTAGAGGATGAGGAGGAAATACTGAAGGAGCCTGGGAGGAGAAGCAGGTTAATTAGGAAGAAAACGGGTGCCTGTGGTGTCTTGGAAGTTGATGGAATGTTGTTTCAAGGAGCGAGTGATTGAATGAGTCAGTTTGCTGATAAGACTGGCTGAAGTTATCTCTAATTGTAAAAAAATTAAAAACCTGTGAAATAGATTATTTTTCATTTACAATGTTCGTGTGAAAAAAATTGGAGGATAGTTTTGCCCCAAATCCTGTGGGTATTCAGCAAGTGAATTAGAAATTTCAAAAAATACTAGAAATATAGAGAATGCCTTCTCGGAGAAACTTCTGGGAATAGAATTCAGACTGTCCAGAACAAAGACATTAGAGGAAAAAGAAAGACGATCTAGACAGTAGTAGGGGAACAGAACGGAGTAGGCAGAAATCAGAAAATGCAAGGCAGTATTTTTTAACACTGCAAAAGCAACAGAAGAGGGAGCCTTAGGGGTGAGATAGTTTTATTATAATGTTCATTTGAAAGGATAAATGAGTGAGAAAAAGGTCTGAAAAAGAAGAAAAAGAGGATCTAGTCCTACCAGTTATTAAAACATTATAAAGGCTATATAATAAGAAGATGGTATTGGGACCTGAATACGTAGATCAATAAAACAGAATAAAAAATCCAAAAATAAACCTGATTGCATCTGAAAGTTTAATATGTGATAAAGGTGCTCATGGAGGTACAAGACCTTTATAAATAGTGTGGGGGTAATTGGATAGCCAGTGGAGAAAGATACAAGCATATCTGTTTATTCATGCAAGGTGAATTCCAAATAGATCAAAAATTTACATTTTTTAAAGAAATAAAACTATATAAATACTAGTACAAAGTACGAGTGACTTCCTGTACAATCAAGGAATTGCGGAAATTTTTCTAATTAACTTAAAATCCAGAGACAATAAAGGAAAAGACTGAAACTTGGACTCTCCAAAACAACAGCAACAGTAAAACTTTTGCATAGCAAAGCACATCATAAGCAAAATAAAAAGATAGATTACAAACTAGGAAAAACATTTCCAACTTATAGTATAGACAAAGGAATAATGTCTAGAGGTGTGTTCTGGAGAGGAAGGTGAGAAGGAGCCCTCATCCATGTGCCCGTGGTGTAAATACTTCCACCACAGCAGATTTTTAAGTTGCCGAGATGACATCAACTGTATCAATGTAACATCATCTGGCTCACAAAATTCCTGAAAATTTAACAATCAACATTTGTTCAGTTAGTCCTCACCAGCTCCTGCACTTCACTGTGAATATCTCTAGTATATAAAATATTTCAAAAGATGGAGAAGAAAAGGAAAACCATCCTGTGAAAAATAGGCAAGAGTTATAAACACGCAGTACACATACCCACACACATGAAGAAATGAAAATAAAGGGCTCTTAAATATATGAAAAGATGTTCAATCATACTTATACTAAAGGAAGTGCAAATTAAAACTAAAACTACAGTGAGACAGTATTTCTCGACTATCAGATTGGCAAAAATCTAAGTTTGACAACCATAATGTGTTGACAAGGTAGGAGGAAACAGGCACTCGTATTTTGCTGGTGGGAATGCAAAAATTGTACAATCTATGGGGAGAGTGATTTGGCAATATATAGCAAAATCTCATGTGCGTGCACCTGTCGATTCAGAAATCCCACTTCTAGGAATCTGTCCTAAAGATACAGTGGCAAAAATACAAAAAGATGTAGACGTAAGGTTATTCATTGAACACTGTTTTTAATAGTAAAAGACTAGGAACAACCCCCAGTATCCTTCCTTCATAGAATGGCCAAATTAATGAGTCTGCTCACATACTGAAACACTACAGCTGTAAAAACAAATGAGAAATATCTCTATATACTGCTGTGGCATGATTGCCAGTGAAAAAAAGCAAGAAGGCAAAACTGAAGGTAACATGCTACCATTTAAGCAGAGGGAGAGGAAGATATCAATGTATCTTTCTATTTTAGAAAAATAGATAAAATAAAAACAAAACACAAATTAAAATTTTATTTTATTTAAACAAACAAACAAACAAACAAAAACCTGATTACCTCTAGGGGAAGGAAGGGAGGGGCAGAAGGACAGGGATGGAGGTCAGATGTCTCTAACTGTGTGTTGATTTATACATGTGACTTTGTTAAGTACGTAACAAGACTTAATTTTAAAAAATACTTCCAAAACCAAGCCTTAAAAGTCAAAGGCAAAATTTAACAGTTGAATCTGGTTGTGTAGT